TGAACAACAATCGCATTGGAATCAGTGAGAGGGCATTTGCCTGCATACAAGGGCAGGTCAAGGCCTCAAACATGAAATGATCAAAGAGGCCAGTAGCCAGAATTCTCAGTTCTCTCTTGATTACTTCAATGCAAAACTATTTTCCAGGAAACCTTAGAAGACATAGACAAAAACGAGGATGGTTTTGTGGATCAAGATGAGTACATTGGTAAGTGTTGAGGTTTGTTTCTTACATAATCTCCAGTCCATTTTTCCATCTTCTCTCAAATTTGCAGCAGTATTAACAACGCTGAGATGAATGTTTCTGTGCTCCAACTATTTTAAACCAACCATCCAATCCAGAAAGTTTAGTTTCATTTTAGGCAGATAGAAGCAACATCACCAGCAAAAGATTCCTCACACTTCACGGCATAAGATCCTCCTCTTAGTCTCGTATAATTTGGATAAGAGGGTCTGGAATAATGGTTTTCATGACAGGAATACTTTCTGTATGCTTGACCACATTAACAGCATTTTGAAGGCATTGTTCAGAAATACAGGAGGATCAGAAAGTGCGTTAGTCTTTTCCCAAGTTTGAATGGTATTTGACTATGCAAAATAGCTGGGAAGCACACATTGCAAAAAAGAATACTCACCTTTTTTTCTACTAGTTATTTTCCTAATTTAATTAATAAGTAAGAACCCATTCTTCTCTAGTGATTTGGTGATGCCATTATGTTTCTTCTAGAAATACAGGATGCATTAAAAATGAACTGTGTAAAAATAGCACTAAGATTTAAGATTCTCAAAGAAGTTGTGAGGTGCCTGAAAGTCAGCTGTGCGTTACTTCAGTAGCAGAAAGAGAACAAAATGGGAAACATCAACAACAGATCAGTCACACTTAATTTACACAAACTTCAGTCACGCTAGGCAGTTAGCTGCTGTCTTGCACTTAGGCCTATGAAGACAAAATGGAAGCAGGATTGGAGATCAGCAGTACGTAATATGGTTTAGCCTTCTGAAATTATGCTGATACCAAAAGCTAACTTCTCCCACTGCACTCACTTTGATGGGTTTTAAATCAAGAAAGTAGCACCAGGAAAGCGTTAGGGCAAACTCAAATGAATCTTTCTGTTTCTAGTGGTGCTATAAAGATCACTTCACGTATAATCAGGAACAATGTACGCATGTTAATTAATGGCAGGGGGGTTCTTTTCCTTGTAAAATATATTTAGCCTCAGAATGTGAATGCTATTCATTTATGACCGAAATAACAGAGCAGCATAATTTCCACAGTAATTTCATTTCATTCAGTGACATTACCTACATATAATTATAAGGTAATTGTCAACATTTGTTACCATGTGAATGCTGTTTTTTCTTGTCTTCTATAGATAGGAACACAGAATGTTCTAGTCACGATCACCTCACATCGACAAGGATGATAAAAATCAAATTGATGGGACATGTCAGCTGCTTCAAATAAACAATATAATTTGCACTTTCAAAATGAACAAAGAAAATGAATGTGTTGTCTGAAGTTTTCTTCATGAGTTGAGGAAAACTATGCTTAAAATATTCCTACTTCCCTTTTTCAGATGTAGTATTTTTTATTTTTGACAAGCTGGGGTTAAAAAACAAACAGAAACACAAATATCTTTGGTGGATTATAAGGAACAACAAAATGAAGTCCAAAAATTGCAGTCTCAGGGATCAGGCATTTGATGGGGAAATCTGCTGAAGGTTATAGAATGATTCCTCCCTCTTCCTTCCTTCCTCCTGTTTTGTCTTTTACAAAATTTGGTTTTGATTTTACACAAGCAGTGAAAAGATCCCTAGTCGTGTTAAGCAGAGAGGAATAAATTCTTATTGTGCATAAGCAGGTAACAGAGTCTTTCAGGGACACTGTGGACAGTTCTACCAATAGAGAGCTTCAGCCTAGCGTACACACTCGCACTGCAGGATGGGAGGAGGTTATTCCTAGAATGGAGACCAGCATTTATACTTCCTATAGATACCAGCCAGCCTCTGGCCCTGAGACCACCCATATGGGGCACACTTTTCCTTAGCTCATCCTTGAAAACCAAACCCACAAGGCATAGGAGTAGTATCAGAAAGCAGGCTTTAGTTATAAATAGAAAAGTGGAAGGCTTGAGGAATAAGCAGCCATGATGAGCAGGAAACAATGGGCCACAATGACCAGAAGAATAAAGTGGACACAGTAATCGTAATTTGGAAGGCCTATGCTGTAAAGAACAGATACAAATCAGTTGCTCTTAATAATCACTGCGTCTCTCCCAACTCTGTTTTTACAGATAGCTGCTGCTGTCATTGTGGCATTTTCCTACTGAGGCTTCTTAAATATAGCGCAGGACTGATGTACAGAGCAGCTTGTGTATGTAATCTATGCATCCTATGTCACAAATGGTACTCCATCCCAAGGTACCAATCTATGAGGAGTGCACTGCCCGTGATTTCTCACACAGAATGCACCACTGATTCATGACTTCTCCCGGTCATTCTTTGTTGCATACCACCTTTTACTGCAGTGTGCTGCAGCACTGCATGGTTAAAAAAGGACTCGTCTACTAAGATGAATTTCTCTTACACAGACCTCTCTAAAAGCAGGACAAAAGCACTGAACTTCCATTTAGCAGTTTTTGTTTTCCTAATTTTCCCCTGTGCCATTTTCCTCTTAACCACTCTGCTGGCTAGAGTCTGATCTTATCCACAAAGACATTTGCTGGCAGGGACAAGATACAATTTCTGAGTTCCTTTCTCCCCATGTGACTAAGCCTAGCACTAAAGCTTATGATTGCTATTTAGCTAAAGATCCTTAAATAACTTACTTCATTCTGAAATTCAGTGGATGAAGGCCTTTGGACAGGTTCACCTCTCATGTTAGCCTCACCAGCAGTGCACAGTGATGATACAAGGGTAATGTAAGAATGGACAGAATCACCAGAGGTGAAGAAATAGGCCTGAGAGAAGATATGCACAGCTACTCTATTGACACCCCATGTTCTATTTTCTGTACAAAGACCGTTGTGCAAAGAATGAAATGTTTGGTCTTCCTCTGAGGGTCACTGTACAAATGTCTTCAAGTTTGTGCATAATTTGCAAATTAAATATGACTCAAGTGAGACCTTTACTTCCTCTCCAGCTGATATGTTTGCAAATGAAGAGGGTGGACCAGAGCCTGACTGGGTGATTACAGAGCGTGAACAATTTTCAGATTTTCGTGACATCAACAAGGATGGGAAGATGGACAAAGAGGAGATTCAGCACTGGATTCTCCCGCAAGACTATGATCACGCACTAGCTGAAGCCAGGCACTTAGTCTATGAATCGGATGTAGACAAGGTACTTAGTGTTCTAGTATACTTTTTTTAAAAAGTTAAAGTGTTTTTTTTAAGCATATCAGCTTGCAAGAATTTACTTCTAATAATTTTTCTTATTAGTACACTTCAAGTGGAGTTTTAGAGGCTAGAATTGCTAGTGCATTACTGTATCAATGCCAGTTTTAGTTGGTAGGGTTAGAAGCTCTAGAATAGTGAATACATGTCAGCTCTAGAAGTCCCCTTGGCTTTCATTAGGTTAGGTAAGAAATTATTTATCATCTTAAACCTGGAAGTTTTAACACAGTTGAAATACTCTTTTTCCTTTTAAGAGTGGTCATGGCTTTTGTATGCTAATTTAGACTGCAAGAGAAAAATAAAAGATACATTACAAAGGAGGTAGCAAGAAAACCCTATTTCTATAATCAAACACATATCTTTGACTTAAAGATTATCTCAATATATACATTTCCTGTAATGTGGGAGATTAATGGTTCGGTAGATTCCAGATGATCTTCAGAAGTATAATATGAGCAAAGCTGGAACCTGAAAAGCCAAAACTCTCTTACACAGAGAGTGTGTAAATTGCTAACGTAAGCAACCATCGTAAACAAAATACTGCAGGGGATTTTCATTTTTACAGTCAGGAAGGCAAAACCAAACCACAGGGCAAAACTGTGTACCAAATAACCCATAAATTGTTTGGCAGTGAGTTAATTACAAAGAACTTTCAATTAGCAGTTTGACCCAACTGAAGTCAGTGGGACTTCAGTTTTCCCCTGGGGTCCAAATTTCGCTCACCATGACAGCTACAATGATTCCTGAACCTGCGGACTGCTGCTTTGAAGAACTGTCTATTTCCCAGGGCTCTTTTAAGTCTGTGATGGTGCGTCTTTTACTTAGCTTTGAAAAAGTTCTTACAGAGATTTTATTTTCCTCCCACCAGGATCAAAAACTAACGAAAGAGGAGGTTCTAGACAACTGGAACATGTTTGTTGGAAGTCAAGCTACTAATTACGGGGAGGACCTCACAAGAAACCATGATGAACTATGATACAGCGTACCAACCAGTATGCCACAGACCTTTTCTCCACTTCACTGAAATCACTGTGTCTATCCCCTCTTTTAGGGGAAGATGGACAAGGGAAACACAACCGAATGATTTGCATTAATATATTTTTAACATGCCAGCTTATTACCTCAGAAACAACATAGAAATAGCTTTTTACTCTTTTCACATGGTTAAATACAGCATCTTATTACTACAGTTCTATTTTGTAAAAAATAAAAAGGTAACTTTTCTTAATAGATTACAGTCTGACCTGGAAAAAGCACTTCTGAAACATAATTGTGAGGATCTTTAATAGCAAAATATTTTCTTCAAATACCCATTTTTACTACAGTAAAATGCAGCTAGGATTAGAAAGAAACCTAATGTTTAAACAAACTAACTTATTTAGTCTTTTTTTTTTTAATAGCATATAACAATTTAGAGTTATACTTTGACCCTCTTATCCAGAGAAAAGACTTAACATAACAAAATCCACAACCTTTTTCTCCACACTGTTTTTCTCTCCCAGTTTGGGCCAGAGGTGCTGAATAATGTGTCCAGCAGCCCTCTGGTTCATAGCTTTACAAGTGCAACATGTACACCTGGCTCTTCTCTCTAACCCCCATCACAGTGCAGAGACAGCATACGTAGCCCAGCACCCTGTGCTGGCATTCCTCAGCGAGAGTTGTAGAGTTTGGAGTGACAGCTGCTCCTTCTGACAACAGAATAACATAAAATTGTTTGTGGGTTGTTGGTTATGCTGATTCCTGGGAGGAATTATGCCACATGGAGCATAATTTATCTCACGCTTTTCGCACTTTACCCAAGCCATACTCTTGTTCACACAGTGTGAATGGCAGCAGTCCTGTGATGGAGAAGGTATGAGAGATCTCACCCTTCTGGGCCTTCTGTCTTCTGTACCACGTAAGAGGACAGATTTATGTGGCTAAAGTTCTGGTTTTGTATGTATATACATATAAGTACATGTTACTGAAGCAACTACATGAAGACAGCTTTCCTTCCAAAGAAAGGGATAAGCTTTCCACACAGGTGCTTTCTTTTTTACTGTATAATGTGAGCTGTTACATGTATTTTTTTATGTACCCAACTTAGGTAAGTTTGGTTGTTTTTAAATGTACTGGTTTTAAAATAAGCACAATTAAAACCAATACTTCTTTTTGATACTATGAAGGTGCAATAACACTAACACAGATTAGCACAGAGAGATGATGTGAAAGCAGGAACCAAGCCTTTAAAGCCAGTAGTTCCCAAAGCGCTGGGTCATTGGCAGCTCCTCCAGCACTGGGTGGTCATCTACAAACAGCAGCTGGACATACAACACCAACTGTTTCTTCTTCACCTCATTAAAAAAAAAAAGCTAGAAATAAGTCCAATATACATAGTGGCTATCGCTATCTCTAGAATTTGTTCTGATACTATGAGATTAAGGCTCCACGGTACAGATCACTTGGAGGTTCTTTGAAGGTTTAGTATACAACGTCACACACTGGTGACCACACAACCATCCAGAGAGGAGCTTTGAGACTTCCAGGGTGTGATATACTTCAGCAATTTAACAAATTTGTGAACATCATCATCAGACAATGTAGAACTGTGACCTCCATAAACAGTGTCATTTTTATAAGGTCATAACACAACTGTGGTGAAATATTTTACATCTTCCAGTTGAAGGCAATTAAATCTAGATATCAGAGTCTGACAGAGATTACATGTTCTTGCTAGTGCAGTTATTAAGCTTTTGGTGTGCACTTCTTCTGACATTGCCAGCAATGTCTCCGGAAAGTCCCTACCTCTTCCACAAACAAACAGTAGGACAAATGCCATAAGACATATGTGAACTGTTTTTGCTCTTCCACTGCCCTCAAGTTAAATAAATGCCTAAATGCAGTGTTATCTGAGACGCAATAAAATTGTATCTTGGCACATGTAAAAGATTATCTGTTTTGTTTATGACTTGGATTTAGAAAGGTTTATTGTATTCAATAATCCTAACACTTTTGAGAAGTTTAGTAGTCCTTTCATACTAAATTTTAACATTTTTATATATTAGTAACAGAATTGCAGTACTCTCTCTGCACTTAGATTATCTTCTGCTGTTTCAGGAAACAATACCTTAAAAGACCTCAAAAAAGCTTTGTTTCCTGCAAGTGAAACTGCAGCTCAGACTGGTTACTTAAGCCAAGGATTTTCACTGGAGCCCAAGGGAAGGTTGTTTGCTAACTCTTGTTGAAATTCAGAGGGAGTTGGGTGCTGAGAAACTAACCATCATTGCCTTCAGCTAAATGTGACACTTCCAAGTCCACTGCGTTCTGTCCCAAGAAAACGCTGCATCTGAGCTTTGACAAGCAATCACATTTTCTTCCACATTACTCCATGAATTTGGAATAGAATTAGCATCAAATGAGAGAGAAATCATGTTCCCATGTTTGTTCTCAATTTCTATTAATGCTTGGAACACACTGGGTATTTTCCAGTATAAAACTATACTTACATGAGTAACGATGCTAAAGTCAGAGGAGTTACTCATGCAAACAGTAACTTGAAATTTAAACTCAATAGTATTTTACAGTGAAATCTTTTTTTTACAGAAAGAATGGTACGTGGGTAGACTATATCCAGCTATGAAAAAGGCAAGCATGCCAACTAGAATGAGATTTAAAATAATCAAATTATTTATCAAGCATTGTAAGGGTAGTGGAGTCATATTAAGATTAGGCACTTTTTTGTAAACCAGAATATAGAAACATTTTCTTAGTGAATATAAGTGTCACTGGGGTGATTGCACTCTAAAGGCTACCCTCTTCTTTCTGCAGCTCTTCATAGTGTTTCACTTACCAACATCCAGTAATGCACAGTACACATTTCGTGCACTAAATTTTCCTTTCAAGCTCAATGCACCAAGGAAGAGTAACTCCAAAAGAGACTAGAGCTTCTGGGTTTAAATTTAACACTATTTAAGGAAAGCAAACCTTTGCTAGGGGATATAACGGTTAACATTGTGATTTTTCAAGCCTAAGGTTTCTAATGGGGTTTGACTGTTTCAGAGATAACGTTTTTTTTTCCTAGGTAACATGTTTCAAGTCATATTATGAGCAAATGTTACAAAATTTTAGTGCAATGTGAAATACTGTAATGTCAGATAGCATTATTTATCTGCTTAATATGACTAAAACCATTAATTGCTGGGAGCCATACTTCATCCCAGCAACATGAAAATCCATTTTGTGCCTATCTTGTCAGTTATTGCCGATTTTCTTAATGAATTGTGATGTAGTGAAATTGTGTTGGGAAATGTGTTTATATATTTCCAACTGCAGATTCTGTACGGTAACTCTTATTACACAGATCCTCCATTAACTAAATGTTTTCATTATGCCTATGCCACAACATATCAAAGGTGCATTTTTCTTACTTAGGTATCTGAAATAGCCATTATTATTGCACATGCAGTTTTAATTATTAGAATTTATGAAATGAGCTAAATGGCTAATGTTCATTGTCTTATATTTCCATTTAATGATTCAATCAGGTTAAATCTGTCTCCTGTTCCAATCAAGGTAGTGTACATAACTCCCTGAGGAAAGGAGAATGCAGCTCATCCTGATCTAATTAAACTTAGACAAGTATCTTACAATAGTTGCAATAATGCTTTATTATTTGCAATGCAGAAGTTGATCTTGATCCCAGTGAAGTTAATGGCAGAAGTCCTGGTCTCTATATAGAGGGACTAAGGTCTTAGCCACCCAAAGGCAAGCAGAACGATAGGATGGTGTGACATGAGGTTAGAAATAACCTTATGACCGTCAGATCCTGATGTCCTTACTACTATTACTGAACACTAACTTTTAGGAATTTAGACTGGTTCATACACATGTAAGATAGGGCATAAGTCTAGTTCATGGAAGGCAGTGTCTAATGTTTCTGGTCTGTTCAAGTAAGCTTAGCCATTATACTGAGCAATGGTGGAATCACTACTAGACAGCAAGTTACCGTTAGCAAATGGAACTAGTTTTACAGGGGGTAGAAGGAGCCACAGAAAACATTTGAAGGCCAAAGGTTTTGCAAAAGCTGTCTCAGCTTGTAGTCAAACATCTGGAAGCATCCACCACTAATAAGCAGTGCCCTTCTCTTTTCATCACTCCCGTTTAGTGTGTGCTGTATTACATTTAATATGTCCAGCAAGGAGCATATTAACCATACTCACTAATTACAAAGGAAGAATTTAGGATTATTTTGCAGTGAAGTTTCAAGCACCAGTAAGACTGATGTCCCTCAAGCTCAGTGCTGTATAGATTATTTCAAACATGATGAACTTCGTAGCAACCTCAGAAGAAAAAGGTACCGGTTTTCCCATAGTGTGAAATAGTGTACAAGGGACATACATGCATATGTGACACAACAGGCAATTTCACACCCGCATTCTGTCTTCTCCACAGGATAAGGTAAAATATCTTCAACAGATGGGAGCATCTCTTCACTATGCCAGTGGCAAGAATGCAATTATCATGTTGCAAAAAATTATGCATTGCTATTCCTATTGATAGTTAAGGGATATCCATCTTCAGCAAGTGTTGGCTCTGGAGAGGGCAGCAGAGTTCTGAAGCTCAGTTTCGTATATTGTGTCTTTATAACTTTCCTTGTGGAAGAATTTATTTCATAATCATAAATTGTCCAAATATGATCTGGTCAGCTATCATTTGAAGTTTTAGTATTTGCTTGAGTGTTTTGTAGTTGGCCTCACATTGGTGAGGGTGTCCACATTTGTGGTCTGAAACCACCACATACCTGAAATTCCAGGACAGCTATATAGAACAAGTCATGGCATGATACTGAATCTGAATAGTAATTAAAGGTGACGCATATATTAGAAATGACAATGTTCCATCATATCAACAAGAATTTAGATACGCATCAAAACGCTTTCACAGTTAAATCTTTTCTTTATATGGGAATAGCACGACAGCCTTTAAAATGAAAGTCCATTGAACCAATGGCAGTACAAAAACTTAATGAAAAATTAGTATAGTTTTTGAAGACATACCTTAAAGCTCCTTGGTGATTTTGTGGGTTGTGTCACAGAAACATGACTTGATAATCCCATAGTGCATGCCATGTTCTCAAACAGTTCTAGTAGAGCACTGCCCAAGAAATGGCCGTCACTGAAGATGCTGCATTTGTGCCCAACAGATTGCCGAGGTTTAGGTAAAAATAAAGTGTAAAAATAAAGCTACTCAATAGGCTGCTCCAGCATGCACTGACTTCTCCCACTCAAGGCTGCTGCTGGATTCTGAGGAAGTTTGATAGGTGCATGATAACTAATGCCATGTCGGTCACCATGAATCCCACCACTAGGATTGAAGTCAGCAAGTTGGTCATCAAGGCCACATTACCTAGGAAGGAAAAAAAGTAAATCATTCTAATTGTCAATCACTGAGCTCCCAAGAGCA